ACAGAAACAAGCTAAGGTTGGTGGCTTTATTTTCTTTAATTTATATGAACTACTTTTCAAATCAAAAATAATCATTTAATCGATAACGCGTTTTACTTAGACTTATTTTCTCGCAAAAGTAGGTCTTTGAAAAAGTGATTATACTTGAGCAAAGTGCAAAGATCTAAACTAGCAATTGTTGAAGGTTTTTAAGCCATAGTTTCTGAAAAATTAAGATGAAAGTTGCTTGATCATAAATGCCACTCCTAAACCTAATACTTTCTGAAAGTAAAGTCATTAGTCACTTATTTTTATAGATTACATAAAAGTTGGAGGGAAGTGTGCGAAAATCTGATGAAGAACTTATACGAATGAATATAAAATAAATTTACAAGCGAACGTTTAATGGTTGTTATTCATGGTTCTATTGTACCGTCAGTTGGTTTTGTCACCGGTAAATCTTTATGAAATTCTTGAACACAAATACGAAAGGTTCCAAGAAAATAACAGTTGCACAAGACTTTTCATTCAAGCAAAGTAGAAGTTCTGCTATGGTTGTATCAGAGGCATATTGACTCTGAGGTTCCTTTCATTTTTGAATGTAAGAAATTACGTAACAGATTACAAAGCGAAAACTATTTTACTCACAACTTACAACTACAGAAAATAAAAGAAAAAGGAAAAGAATGTTTTTAGTGAAGCTAAATTATCGTTCAAGATATTCATCCTCTTTTCTTCTCCAAACTTCAAACTCCAAGCCCTACTCCTTCTTCCTGTCTATATCGTGAGAAATTGGCGGGCTATGCTAAATGTAAGTTCCTTGTTCGCAATTTAATGGCAAAGCCAAACCGTCCCTTTGTCAAGGGTACTCCTTCTGAATTGTAAGACGCTTCCCTTATTTGGAGACCTGAGGACGTATACGTGTGGATCATTCGTGACTATTAAACTCTCTTATTGTTGAAAGACATCTTACCATTTTTCCTTTACGAAGGCAAACCTTTCTAGGTTACTGACTTTTTTTCACTTTTTTTTTAGTGAAAAAAATTCCTCAATTGCACGAGAAACCAAACTGGATTGCAAGCAATTATTGCGTGAATAATTAATCCTTAATTAAACTGGGTTTGCAGTAATTTCTTCTAATACGAGGAATCAATCTAGGTCATTAACCTTCTCTATCGTTGATTCGTTTATTCTTTCCTAGCGATATGTAAAAATTAAATCTATTATGGTATAGGATTTATAGATTGAATTTCTTTTTTTTTGGTTAGTTCAATTTCAACATAATCTATTTTCAAGTACAGTAAATTATATTATGTATAATGTGGGATTGTCCTACAGAAAAAGGTTCAAAGGACTTGCAATTTATATACAGACCCCTGCCAAAAGTTTCCGAACACCAAGTTTAAATGCAAATAAATACATCGTTATATCACATGACCAAATGATACTGCAGTCATAAGAAGTTATAATGTTTGTTTATGTTAATTTATAATAAAAAGCGCGTTATTTTGACTTACCTCAAAATAAAAACAAACAAACTCTTTCTTCTTTTCTCTGAAGATAGTTGAAATAGTAAATAACAATGGGAAGAAATCAAGAATTAACTAAAGAACAACGTGGTGCTATTCTTTACTGTCATCAACGTAGTGACAGTTATCGAACTATTGCAGAGACTGTTAATTGTGAAGTGTCAACTGATTTTGACACTTTGAAATGATTTGATGATACAGGATCAACCAGCTCAAAGCTTCGCTCTGAAAGACCACCTCTGATTAAGGAATCTCAACGAAATCGGCTTAAGAAGCTTGTAATAAATGATAAATTAAATAATCGTCGTCTTTGCACTGCTGGAGTACAGCAGCTTTGGAAAAAGAAAACTGGGCAGGATGTTTCAGATCATACCATTGGCTGAACACTCCATTCGCTTGGATTAAGAAACTGTCTTGCTCGATGAAAGCCTCTCATATCACCTGCAAATAAGAAAGCTCATCTTGCATAGTGTTTGGAATATCAAAGCTGGACAAAGGAAGACTGGGCAAAAGTTATGTGGAGTGATGAATCAACTTTTACTCAATTTCAATAGAATCGTTGTAGCAAAGTGTGGTGAGAACCTGAAGACAAATGGAAACCTTTTTGTATTGCTGCTACAGTAAAGCATAGTCCTAGTCGAATGCACTGGAGATGCTTTCAAGACAAGGTTTAGGTCTAATTGTACTATTAACTGGAATTGCAACTGGTGCTTCACATGTTGAAATTCTTCGCAAATATGTTAAACTAACCATAAGGCGAGTATTTCCAAATGGTGATGGTTGGTTCCAAGAAGATAATGCTCGCCCTCACAAATCAAAGGTTGCAATGGCATCTGAAAATGACTTGCATGTATTACCTTGGCCGGCTCAAAGTCCAGATCTCAATCCAATTGAGAATCTGTAGGTTAAGGTAAAGAAAAATATTAGTGAACAAAAGAAAAATCCATCTAATCTTACTGATCTTGAATGACATGTTAAAAGAGCATGGAAGAAAATTCCAAAAAAGACTATTGAAGACTTGGTCGATAGTATGCTGCAGTGAATTTAAGCTGTTATTGCTGCGCAAGGAGGCCTGACTAAGTATTAGTTGCTTAATACAAAATTTAGAGCTTTATTAATTTAAAATAAATTTATATAAACTTTTTATTGTTTTGCATAAAAATTTTGAGTTTAATATTGGGTAAAAAAGTATTCAGAAACTTTTGGCGGGAGTCTATATTACAATAAATTTTAGCATGAATTTTAATAATAAATAAAACCCAATAATATTATATAGTAATATATTTAATTATAAAGTTTAATTTAATAATATAAAAGCTCTTATGATTCATTTTAAACTTTATTTTTTTAGATTTACAGTTAACTCTCTATAAATGTATCTCTTTAAGACCAGGTATTAGCGTGCATTTATAGAGGGTATACATTTATAGAAAATATATATTTACATAATATAAACATTAATAATAAGTAAATAAAAGTCAATTGATATCAAAATATTAACTTCATTATTATATTTTTATTTAAATAAAATAATTATCAATTAAAATATTGATCAATAGTTGTTTGTTACATTAATTTATCTTTTGCTTTCTAATAAATTTTTTGATTATATCTATTAACTTTATATATTCATTTATATCCTCTTGTTAAAGTAAAAATGTAAGAATAGTTTCTAAGCTTTTAAATGTTATATTAGAACTAATAATTGGAATTTCAGTACTATCATCCATTTCATCTAAATCATCAGTATTATTTTCACTAGATTTAAAAATATCTATAAACTCTTCAATAATTTGATCATCTTCAAGAACTTTATAAGTAATATCTTCTTCAGATATAGTAAGAAATTTTTTCACTCGCATTGCATTAGGAAGATGAAGAGTTTTAAATGCATTATGAAGTTCATCTGTTAAATTATCAGTTTCATCAATTTCATCATATAATCTAATATCATCAGTATCAAAAGAAAGAATTTTAGTATAATATCAGCAATTCTGAATTATTTTAACCATAATTTTATTCTAACTTTAAACAATATATCAGATTACTTGTAAAACATTCATTTTTAAATCTCATATATCTTCATCAGCCTTAATTTACTCTAATATTCAACTAAAATTAAAATAATATTAATATTTGTTTAAAAAATCATTTTGTTAATATATTCTTCAATATTATAATTAAAATTAGAATATTATAAATAAAAACTTACCAAATATATAAATAATGATAATGTCTTTTAAAAGACATTTCTGCATTTATTGGCTGAATCTTTAAAATTATATTGGGAGATAAAAAAAATACATCAATATGTGAAAGAGTTAAACCTTGTAAATTATGACTTGAACAATTATCCAATAGAAGCAAAACTTGTTTACCTTTATGTTTTTGAATAACTAAATAATTAAATTCCTAAAGCCATTCTTGAAAAAAAGTTATAAGCATCTATACTTTAGGATTACTTCAATATATCATTTGAAGATTAAAATATTAACAATTTTAAAGCATTGTAGATTTGCGTATTTTTCAATTATTAAAGAATGCAATTTGTATGATCTATCAGCATTTATACATAAAGCAATAGAAAGGCATTCCTTATTTTTTTTACATTCAGAAAAATGCTTTGTAGCTAAAGTTCAGTTTAGTTCTAACCTATAACGAGTATTATATTTAATACAAATGTAATATTAAATAAAATATAAAAAAAATACATACTGATAAAATAAACCTATTTTATCTATATTGTAAATTTACTCAGAAAGATTATTAAAATATTTATTATGCAATAATGATAAAAATTTAGTAATAGCAACTTGATCAATAGATATCACCTCTCTTTGAAGTTTTTCTTGACGAATTCTATTGCATTTCTTAAAGCCTTAAAGCTAACCAGAAGAAAATTTCAAGGCATTTTCTGGAACTTCCAATCCATTTGCTAACAATTTTGTTTTTTCAATTAATATTGTATCACTTAAAATTGTCTGGTATCAATAATTCAACACAAATTCTTTAAGAGCAAGTTTTAATTCAGGAAATGTAACAGATTTGTGACATTTCTGTTCTAATTGAGTAAATTCAGTGGTAAATCATTTATTTTTAGTTTGTAAAATTTGTGTTATAGTAGACTCGTTAACTCTAACACTCCATTTTTTTTTAATCCAATTGATATATTGAGTTCAAGTTTTATTGTTCTTATTAGCATATAAACAAAGTTTATATTTTGAGAACTTGAAAGAGTTACTTTTTTTGTAGAAAGTGACATTAGAAAAAAAGATAATAAGATCCTACTATATGTACAATAGATTTAAAATAAAATGCGAATATGGTATTACAATATTCATTTAAACAAAAAAAGGAATGGCAGTATTTTTAAGAAAATCATTAAAAAATTGCATTTAATTACGGGAGAGTTTGGGATTTTTTTTTCAAAATTAAACTGCAGGAATTGAAGTTAATGAAATTATTAGAAGGGTAAGGTTGTTGGATTCTTTTATACTTTTTTATGCTTGAATTCTTTAAATTTATTTCTTATCTTAAAATTTCAAAATTAAGAAAAAAATGTGAAGATGATAACGAAACTTTTAATATATGAAGGAATTATGGATATAGGCTGAAAAAAATAGAAAAGTATACTCCTTTTATATTATAAGAATTTTTTTTTACAATTATCAATTTAATATCTAATCTCTCAGTTATCAAATAATAAAAATTGTAAAATTTTATGAAACAAATAGATACCATTTTTTTTAGATGATATCTCATAATCACGTGAATGCATTTATAGAAAATACTATATATATAGTCTGAATCAAAAAATCATTGTATAGTGCAAATAGGGAGGATGTATATTTAATACTAAGATCTAAACTTGGATTGAGCTATTGAGTGTATTTAAAAAAGAAGTGCACTTATAGAGAGTGCATTTATAGAGAGTTAATTGTATTTATTTTAAATATAACTAATCAAAGAAAAAATGTTGTTGAACCTATTGTCAAAAGAAAGTCATCAAGTCCTAAAGATATTGAAGACTTTGCTAAAAGCTAGAGGTTAGAACTGGATTTATATTTTAAATCCAGATTAGATACAATAAATCCAGATTTCTTCATTTTATCTAGATATAATAAATCTGATTCCTTCGTTTTATCCAGATATAATAAATTTAGTTCCTTCATTATTAAGCCTAAATACTATGTTATTAGGATAATAAAGCTTATTTGCTAATAGGGAGTTTAAGTTATAAACTATGAAAGAAATAAATACGAATTTATTTAAGTTAAAGGGTCAGGTCGTCTTATTGATGATTTATATTTTAAGGAAATAGATATTGACAAAGATATAGTTTTTAGGTTGTTAAGATTATACTTTATTAATTGTACGATAGAAACTTATTAGTTTATCAAGGTAACAATACAGGATATTTATATAAATACAATTATAAGAAAGAGATAATAAATATAATAGTGAGAATAAATATAACTATAATAATAAAGATAGTAAATATAATAATGATAAACGTAATAATAATAAAAATGAATATCACAATGATAATCATAATACCAGTGAAATCGGTGAAAATGATAATCACAATTTTCTTGGTGATCATTGGTGATGTTAGTTAGCACAGTCATTTAGTGACGCAAATGGATTATCATTAACAATTTTCTCCTCTAATATCTGAGCTCCTGCGATAGTACTAGTTTCCTGTACGAGCTGTTGATATTGTTCATGATTGATACAAGAGAGCATTCCTATAGTTGTATACTTAGTTCAAGCGATTTGGTCTATTCTAATTAATTCATATAGGTAATATACTTGTACAACTACTTTTTGGTAGTATGGTGAGAGAAGGTTCATATATTGAGTTCTTTCAGTTAGTGATTCAGTTTTAGTTTCAATAACCTTTCCTATATGTCATAGAACTATTAATATTTTGACTTGATTTCTTAAGCTTTTTGCTCTTCTAAGTTGTTGAAGTAGAGATTTCACTTATTATAAAGCAGTATTGTTATGCTGATAAAAAGGAGATAGTATATCTAGATAAAGTGGTTCAGTTTGTTACAAGTCTATTAAGATTTGATTATATAGTTCCATTTTAAATTTGAGAAAAGGGGTAAAGTTTAATCAATATCCACTCTATTTATATAGATTTTTAATAAACTTCTATTTACAGGGATTTTTAGGACTTTCCCGTTTAATTCCCTAATCTTATAAGTGTCATTTCCAATTATGTCATGTATATAATATGATTCTTTTCATTTTGAGTCTAGTTTTCCAGACCACTGCTTATCTAATATCGCTTTGTAATACAAAACTAGATTGCCTATTTGGTATGACACAATTTTCTTTAATTTTTCATCATATCGATCTTTTTGTTTTTGTTGTTCTTTTTGTAAATTTTGTTGAACAGTATTATAAATAATTGGCAGCTAATCTAATTATTTTTTCATATGGTTGAACAAGAGAAATTCCTCTTCCATTTCTGTACTATCCATTGGCAATTTAGCTTCTTGTTCATATATAAGGAAAAAGGATGATATTTTTATAACGGAATGTTCATTTGTGTGATAAGCAAAAAGTGCAGGGGCAATGAAATGATCCCATTCCTTTTGATGATTGGTAGTAATTCGTGTAAGGGCTTCTATTAAAGTTCTATTAAACCTTTCAACCAATTCATTGGTCTGTGAATGATATGGCATTGATATTCTATGAGGTATTTCAAATTTTTGTAGTAATTCATGTAATAATTGATTGTTGAAATGTGTATCATGATCGGTGAGTATTTCTCCAGGATATCAATATCAGCAAATTATATTTTTATACATAAATTGTACAGTTGTTTTGGCATCATTATGCCTTACAGACTTAGCTTCTGACCACTTGGTTAAATAGTCTATAGCAACGATTATATACTTATATCCTTTACTTAAAACTGGTAAAGGTCTGACGTAATCTATTCTAATACAATAAAAAGGTTATCCAATAGGTATAGGATGTAGAGGTTCTATTCTTGAGGCTCTTTCTCTTTTCTGACAAGAGTCACATGATTGTGCATAATTATTAATATCTTCAAACATTTGAGGCCAATAAAAACGTTTTCTAATTTTTTTCATCATCTTTCTTTTGAACTATAAGTGACAGTTGGATCATTGTGAAATATGTAAAGTGTAGGTTTCAGTTCTGTTTTTTTGAGTATTCTAATTGGGTTGCTTGGGTTATTTTTATTAATTTTATATAGTAAATTATGTTTGATAATATAATGTTTTGAATAGTACGTTTAATTTGTATTGTTGTATTTAATTAAAGGTAGTGGGGTATGTTTGGTTAGTTAAATAATTAAATAGTTGATTATATTGTTGTTCTTCTATGTTTAAGAATTTAAGCTGTTTATCACGTTGTAAATACTTTCGCTTTTACTTAATTTTTTATGTTATATATTAATGATTTGAATTAATAAGAGGGGGAAAAAGATGCATTATTCATGCTACCAAGGTGAAGTGTAATTATGCACAAAGGTTTTCCTGTTATACTAAGAGAGGTTCTTTCTACCAGAGGTCATTAGTTAAATATTCTGATTTCATGTCAGGTTGTATTTTTCCTAAATCATATCCAATAACACAATCATGAATGATAGTTCTATACAATAAATTTTTCTTACATGCTTTACAATATGTATGAACATGATGGTTTTCAGTATCATATGAAAAAGTACATTGTGATCCTCCTCTGGTGATGGTTGTCTAGCGATTACTTGTTTAATCTTTATATTTTTACAGTAGATTTCCTCTAGTTCATTATCAGGAGATTTATACCCAATAGCAGTAATTAAGACAGTGTTAGAGTATTGTCGAGACAATTTCTCTTCAAATCATTCGTCACTTTCTCCAAATTCAGGAGAAGAAATATGCCATTCTATATCTTCTTTTATATTAACATTTTCATCCTCATTATCAGCTATATCTGTTTCAGTAAGATCAATAATAAAACATTTAGCAGTTTTTTCATCATACATGCAGGACAATGCATCGGCATTCACATTATGTTTTCCTGCTCTATGTTCTATAGTAAAATAATGTTGTTGTAATTCCATGGTCCATCTAGCATATCTCCTTTTTAGCATTTTTGAGATTTTCAGCTATTTTAAAGCAGCATGATCAGTTACGATAATGAATGGTCGACTAAGATAATGATGAAAATGCTTTATTGACCAAACAATTACTAGATACTCTAAGTCAGTGATGGAATAATTTTCCTCAGTTTTATTGGTCGATCTGCTAGCATATGTAATAACATATTTTTTTCCTTCCTTCTTTTGAAATAGTATAGCATTTAATCCTTTTTTTGAAGTGTCAATATATAAAGTAAAAGGTATTTCAAAGTCAGAGTACTGTAAGATTAGTGCTTTGATAAGCCTTTCCTTTAGTCAGTCAAAAGCATATTGTTGTTTTTCTCTCCATTCAAAGGGTTGATTTTTCTTCAATAATAAGGTCAAAGGTTTGGCATGTCATTTAAAATCTTTAATAAATTTTCGATAGTAATCAAATAATCCTAATGCAGCATGTAGTTGAGTTAGACTTTTTGGTTCTGGAAATTCCTCAATCTTCTTGATTTTTTCTGGATCAGGTTGGATTCCTTCTTGTCCTACGATATGTCCTAAAAATGCTAAGAAAGGTTGACAGAAATAACACTTCTTTAATTTTATCACAAGATGAGCATCTCTAAAAGCTTGAAACATTTGTTTAACATGATCAACATGTAATTCAAAAGGTCCTTTTATGTAGATGATTATATTATCAAGGTAGACCGATATGAATAATCCAAAGAAGTCTTTTAAAACCCAGTTCATAAGCCTTTGAAATGTTTCAGGTACATTATTTAACCCAAAAGGCATAACTAAGAATTCGTACAAGCTATTTGTTGTGATAAAAGCAGTTTTCTCTATATCATCAGGATGCATTGTCACTTGCCAATAATCACTAGTTAAATCAAGAGTAGTGAACTAATTTGCTTTACCTAATAAATCCAATAAGTCATTAATTCTTGGTAATGGATATGTGTCAATTTTTGTGACAGCGTTAACTTTTCGATAATCAACATATAATCTTTTTTCACCTTCTTTCTTTTCTACAATTATGACAGGTGAGGCTCATGGACTATAGAAGGGTCAAATTATATCATTTTCTTCTATTTTCTTTAACTCCTGGTTCAAGAATCTTGTATTATCAGGGTTTATTCAATATGATTTTTGAGCAATTGGCATAGCTGTTCTAGTATAAATACAATATTTGATCTTGATCATTCGTCCTATCTCTATTTGACTTTTTGTACAAATATCATAATATTCTCCTAGAAGTTTCATGAAAAACTGATATTGATGGAAATCCAAAGGTCCTAGTTGTTTTAAGTAAGTTGGATCAGTTCTAGCAGTATATCCTGCAATTTTGGCAAGATAAGCAGCTGGATTATCTTTTGATTGTTCACTTAATTCTTTATTATTATCAGTATCTATTTCAGATTGAATAGGAGAGTAGTGATCAGTCCAGGGGTTGAATTCTAATTTATCATCCAATTCTGATTCATCTGAGTCTATATCATCGAACAAATAAATGGAGTATTCTTCTAAATATTTGTCCTCATATTCTTCACTTTCGTATTTGTCTTTAGCTTTCTGAGTCACAACTTTAGTTATATTAGTAAATGCAATAGGAATTTTCATGGTAATTCCATCTCGTTTAATAGTAAGGATGGATTATTTCTAACTCATAGTAGCACTAGTTATTCTGAGCCAATCGTTTCTAAATATAAATATTTCATCTTTAGACTCAAATATTTAAAAGGAAGTGGATACATTAATTTTTTCAATTTTTACTGATACATTATCAATAATTCTGAGGAAACGAGTCCTTGCACTATTGCTGTTACTACTATTATTTTTGATGGTCAACTTATTTTATATCCAATTTTTCTACTAAAGCTCTAGTTATGATACTGGTAGCAGCTCTACTATCGATAATTGCGGTCTGAGCTTTTTGTCCAATCCTCAAAGTACATTTCGCAATTGAGATTAGTTCATCATCACTTTCTACTAAATTAGCTTTTTTGGTTTCATCAGTAGCTCTTTTTCTTGAGCATCTGATAGCTCGAGCTAAACCAGAATAATATTTAGAAATAACATGTGCAGCTTGTCCAACTGATAATCCATATGGTAAATTTTGCAAATAAGTCGAGACATTAAATTCAGTTAGTTATTCAATGAGAGTAGGTAACAACCTTCTTTTAGAGGCTTTCAATACTTCCTCGATTCTAATTGATTCAACTACAGGTTCTGGTGTTGATTCTTCCATGTCTACTTCTTCAACAGTTATTTTAGTTTTAGATAGATTTTGAAATCTTGCTGGTCCTCTTTTGTTTTTCGACACAGCATTTTTTGGGTAGGGTTCAGATCTAGTATTTAAATAGATTTCATATTCATCTTCCTTATAATATTTCTTTAAAGTATATTTCTCATTGTTATATTCTTCTTCATAGTATTGATCAGCTAGATTTATATCTCTAGTGTCATTATAACAAGGTCTTCTATTAGTTTCTGATAAGGTTGAGGGCAGTTCTTAGCTATGTGTCTTTTTCTATTGCAATTGTAACAAGTCATTGAATATATATTTTGTCTGGGTCTCCTAAGAGTATTATTATAAGTTCACTTTGTTCGCTTTCTTGAAGGCTGTTAAGGTTGAGCTAATAGAATAGTCGTCAAATTAGCATAGTTGATGGATAGCCATTCTAATTTTTTTGTGAGCTCATCTACTTCAACATTGGTAACCATATTTTTAGGAGTAGAAACTGTAATAATGCTAATATCCTTAGGGGCTTTTTTAGAGGCAAAATTATATTCGATTTTAATAGTTCACGCAGAGTTTATAGTAGCATCCAATTCAACTGGATTTTGTGAGTAGACTAATAGAGTATAAGCAGGATTTAGTCTTATAAGAAATATCCTTTTCTTCTGTGCATCATTTGTTAATCCTATGCAAGTCACTAGTTTCTTGAATTTATTAGCATATGAATAAACAGATTCATCAGTTTGTTATTGCAGAGAAGTCAATTCCTGGTACTATTGATTTTTTTAGTCTCACTAATAAAGCGAGATTCGAATAAATCCACAAAATTTTTGCTACCATTTGTTCCAGTATTCCAACTGTCTTTCATGGAAGTGTAACACTATCAAATCAGTCAGCTACTGCGCTCTTAAGGTATCCTCTAACAAGAGTCTTTTTTCATACTTCAGTAGTCTATCTATTAGTAATTGCAGCTCTTTCAAATGCAGTGAGCCACTCTACAGGATCTTCATTTTCAGCTCCTGAGAAATAATCGATTTTAATAGTGGATCTTTCTCTGTTTTAATTTCTGCGAAGTTGTTTACTGATATCTGTTAAGTGTTGTCCATCATTTCCAAAAATTTCTTGGAAGATAGCTCTCATCTCAGCTCCTGTGACTATGA